TTTTTTTGTTTGTTTTTTCTCCTCTTGCACTTCATTTTATTGCATATAAATCTTAATCAATCAATAAATCGGTACCCAATCGATATATCAACATATTCTTGCCTAGAGAGTATAGATTTTGAAAGTTTAGTGAAACAATATGTACATCAGGAGAAGGGATAGAGACGTAGAGAAATGGCTGTAAAGCGAGACACCGGAACAGTAGAGAAAAACGGGTGCTGAATTATTGAGCAATATAGTACGCGTGTGCGAACGCGCGCGTGTCTCATTTTGAGGTCAAAAGTCAAAAAGTCAAAATTTTTAAATTGGCAATATTTACTAGACTAGAAATCACATCTCGTATTGATTATGCTCAGGCTGAAGAGAGAGTATTAACAAAAAAATGTCTAGTCACGAACAGCATTACCAAACCACCCATGCATGCATGCAAAAAAATCAATATATTGATTTTTGAAAAAAATTTCTGAGTTTGATAACACTGTCCTTTTACAGTGTATGTATATGTGTAGAGTACATACATCAATGTGAGTGATGAGTATTGAGGTGCACCAGGTCATATTTTTTCACGGGGGAGGACACGGGGTAAGGGAAGGGGGTGGAGTCAGCCAATTGGCTGCGCCCAGACACGGGGCGGAGCCAATTAGTCCTCGACAGCGATCGGCACCCACTCATCTTTGCTGAGATTCTCTGACATCGAACTCAGAACTGTCATTATCGTCCAGTATAATACTGAAAATCAAAAAAAAATTAAGTCTGCATTATTATTTAATATCAATTTGCAGCAGAACTCACTATTAAATCCAAAAAACAACAATGGGAAGAGGTAGCGACTACATTTGTCTATCTTGGCTGGGGTAACATTCCTACACGTTTTTGAGGCCTAAAAGTATTTTTTACGATCTAAACTGGAGATAGCGAGCTTCAATGACTCAGTGCTGACTTTTTTGGGTTTTCCAAATGGTGCAGGCCACATAGTGTGAGCTCCATCGGCAACAAGTCGTGGATGCTGTATGAGCGGTATAGTTCGACAGTCGCAATCCACGGGAATTTCCATCAATTGATGCTAAAAGGAAGAAAATTGAAAAA